GGGAATGCAGTAGGAATTCTAGTGCTGCCAGTAAACCCAATCTACTGCCCACTGGCATATTTATCCAAACAACTAGACAAAACAATCCAAGGTTGGCAACCCTGTCTCCAAGCTTTAGGGGCAGCCACAGAACTCGTCAAAAAAACCCTCAAGCTCACCCTCCTTCAACCTATCACCATCTTCTCATCTCATAAACTGGCTGTGCTTTTTAACCACCAATCTCTTTTCTTTTTAGGCTCATCCCAACTCTAGGACTTTCATTTGCTTTTCATCAAAAACCCTTTAGTCTCTATACAGAACTCACCTCTCTTTAGCCCAGCTTCCCTTCTCCCCTCTAATCTTTCTGTTGCATCCACTCTTGTCCTGAAGTAAATGGTGTACTGTCTTCCCCCAGCGAAGGCCTTCCTAATACTCCTTTATCTAACTCTGTTATGACATTGTTTGTAGATGGCAGCTCAGTAGTAGGCCCTGATGGATGCCACTGTGCAGCTTATGCCATTGTGACTCACACCTATATGCTAAAGGCTTGCAGCCTCTCAAAAAGGACAACATCTCAAAAAGCTGAACTAATAGCCCTCACTAAAGCCCTCATCCTAGCCAAAGGGAAACATACCACAATATATTCTGATTCAAAATCTATTTTCTTAATAGCATTTTGCCACTCTGCTCTTTGGAAAGAGGAAGAGTCTCTTACCAAGGAATTCCCTGTTGTCAATGCTACCTTAATCTCTAAATTACTGAAAGCTCTCCTTCTTCCAGCTGAGGTACAAAGGCCACCAGTGCACCACACTGCAAAGGCTACCAGTCTTCCTTTGATCCTGTCACTATGAGCAATGCCAAAGTACATGCTACAACTTGAGGCCTCACTTGCCCCTCCTCGTCCACTGCTCCAGTCTTATTCCTTACTACAGATATCAGTCCCACTTGCTCCCTAGCAGAAACTGACATCTTACAGGCAAAAAGAAGATGCACCACACCTCAAGGATGGTTCTTTCTTGGTGATAAAATTGCTCTACCTGAATCCCAGTATACCTCTATCCTCACCGATATCCATAATTCACTCCATATTGGACCTAAAGCCCTCCTTTCCTTCCTCCAACCTCTATTTTCTACCCTTCTCTTGCCACAAAAATACAACTAGTCCGCTTCACTGCTCCATCTGCTCTTAAGTTTCACCTCAGGGTGCCCTCCAACCCCAGTTCCCTACCCACCAAATGAGAGGCCATCTACCTGGTCTCAATTGGCAAGCTGACTTCATTCACATCCATAGACACAAACAGAGGCTTTACCTCCTAACCATAGTAGATACCTTCTCAGGATGGATCGAAGCATTTCCCACATCAACTTTAATTGAACAGATCCTTCCTCGCGTTGGCTAACTCACTCATATTCAATTGAACAATAGCCCAGCTTTTGTCTCACAGGTTGTCCAGCAAGTGTCAACAAAGCTCAGCATCATCTGGAAACTACACATATCATACCATCCCCAATCCTCTGGAAAAGCAGAATGGGCAAAGAGCCTTTTCAAGGACCAGCTGACCAAATTCAGCCTTGAGGTAAAGCTCTCCTGGTCTACACTACTTCCCCTGGCTCTAGTTCACGTACATGCTGCTCCATGTTCACCTTCAGGGCTAAGCCCCTTTGAGATTGTTTATGGCAGCTCCTTCCTTTTAACCTATAACTTTCCACAGGAACCCCTCTGCTAACATCTAATCTACCCTACCTTAGCTTACTGCAGCATATCATACATGAGCATGCCAACAAGTCCCTTCCCTCTATCATCTCATCCTCTGATTCAACACTCACTCCTCCTCTACAGGTTACTGTCTTTCTTAAAGACTTCCACGTTAGCTCCCTTCACCCTCACTGGTGTGGCCCTCATATAGTCATCCTAACAAATACAACTGCAGCCAAGCTCCTAGGTCACTCATGATGGTGTCATGTTTCCTGCCTCAAACGGTCACCTGAAGAACCTAAAATTGCCAATGGATGGACATAGACCCAACTGGGCCTCACCCAGTTATGGCTCACTAAAACTCCCACAGACTTCTCACTCTCATCCTTCTCCTCTTACTTCCCAAGATGAGTTCAAGTAAAATCGCTGCCTATGTGTAGAAGTTCTATGTCCAGGAAACCTGGACTAAAGATACCACCACCTACTGCCATTATACAGCCACAGCAGATTATCAGCCAGAGGGATGCTGAACTCCCATTCACTTTACCCTTAAACCCTACCAGTCCTTAAAATCCTTAACTGTTGGGTTCTCAATTCCAGCTATTTGCTTCCTTTATGACCAAGTATGTGATTGTTGCAAACAATGGCCAGAAACGTGTGGTGGATGCCCTTACACATTGTGTAAAATCTGCCCAAATCCTGTGCTCAAAAGGTCAAGATCAGCCATGTTGTTTAGCATCTATGACCCCTGGCAGATACAGGGTTAGAAGCTAAACTGTATAACTGGCTCCAAAATTCTTACCCCTCAGCTACCCTCAAGATCTTCCAGGTCTTTACCAGGTAGTACCAGAAGTTATCCAACAGCTAGCTGATATATCAGAAAATATCCTCCAGCAGAAATCTTTTTTAGACTCAGTCGTAACCCCTCATACTCCTCACCCTTTTTCCTGGCTTCCACTAATCCATCAGGGCGTTAATCTTGTTAATCATACAAGTATTGGCAATATCACTCATTGCTTTTTTTGTGCTTTCCTGGATTGTTCACCTCTGCTTGCAATTCCACTTGCCTCTGCCTGCAATACATCGTCCTCCTCCTCCTCCACCTCCAAACTCCCTCTAAATAAAATTTTCCTCTTTCAGCAAGACCGTGACTCCACCTATTCCTTCTGCTATGTCACAAGTGCCACACCACCTCCCCCTTGCAATATTACCTTATTAGTATCTTTAACTCTATACGGTCCCCCTGGTGGACTCTTTTGGTGTAATAATACACTGTATAAAACTATCAAAACGTCTTCCCCCTTTCCATGCATTCCTGCTGCCTTAGTTCCTCAGCTTATGATGTATGGGCAAGAAAAATTATTTGCCCTCCTCACACTTGCCAACCAAAGAACTCAAAGAGCTGTGTTCCTCCCAGTTAAAGCTGGCATCTTTCTTGCATCCTCTATAGTTGCAGCAGGCTTATCTGATGGTGGTCTAGGTTACTCCATTACAACCTTAGCCAATCTGGAGCACAAACTCCAAGTAGCCATTGATGCCTCTGCTAAATCTTTAGCCTCCCTCCAATGCCAAATTAACTCTTTGGGCCAGGTATCTCTTCAAAACAGGCTCTCTCTGCCAAGAGACTGCCCACTTAACAGTGTCATCAGATGTCACCAACAGCACCAGTAGTTGCAGCCAATCAGCAAGCTATATGACTACTTTCTCTGCCAGGAGACAGCCCGTACCTTCCTGAGTCTCTTAAAAAGCCAGTTCCTCTTCGTGCCACATGTGAACCTCTCTGATCAATCCTGCTTGCTTCTCTTTCTCTCCTCCCCTACCGAGGCGTGGGGCAAAGAACCTCACCTGAGAGCCTAAGAGCCCCAAAAAAAGCTTCTTTGCTTACTTTTGATTTACACACCTATTTTTACCATACATTTGGGGTTTTTTAATTTGGGGGTTTTTTTTTATTATTTTGTGTGCATGTACCATCAAATCAGATCTGACTGGTACAGGAGGATATTGCTTCTCCTTCTCTGGCAGAGCATCTGGTGGATTCAAACCATGTACCTCTGAGATTGTAGTGCAGCTTCTTGCCACCAAGCCACCAGAGCTCCCCCATACAATTGTTTTACCATACAATTCCACTGACTGTCAAAATAACAAACAACTATGTCTTAGAGAAAGCTCAGCCTTGTTCCTTGGAGGCAAGGGTGGTGAAGCTTCATCTCACATGTTTTTGGCATCTTGTTGGGTGGGGCCAGTCCTTAGAAAAAATATCATGATTGGAAAGGTAGAGAAAAAGAGAGGAAGACCATCAAAAAAGATGGATTGACACAATGACTCTAATAATGGGCTCAAGTGTATCAGAGATGATGATGAGGAAACAGGATAGGAGAAAGTTCAGAGTCATTGTCTACTCGATAGCACCTAACAACAATTATTATTTGAAATGAAGGAAGATCTGGTGGAGCAGTTAGTAGAGAGCTGCATTGCTAGCACAAGTCCATGCCTCTCTGATGGTTAGAATTCACCAGCTTCTTTGTAAGAGAAAGATGGGCAATCTCCTTCCATGTGATTTACAGCCTTTGAAAATCTGTGGAAGAATCAGCTAAGCATCCATTCAGACTGGACAACAGTGACTTTGAAATTATTTATACTAAGTATTAGTTCCACTCTAAATCTTGTTATGTAATATGTTACTAAAACGTAATTTATCACATTACAGATTTGAATGGGGGGAGGAAAGTTTACCTTTTCCATTTAATAAAGGCCCAAAGGCTGAAATCAAACCACAATTAATTACTATACTTGTAACGAAAAAACTGTGTTAGCAAATGAAACTTGATTCAGCTTCAAACTAAGATCTTTGAAGTTTGATTCAATAAAGAAAACCATAAATCAACAGATTGCAACTGTAAGGAGAAAACGCTTGAGGATCACCAAAGACAATACACCTCAAAACCCTATGTCTCAGTATCTAATGATTTCATTTTTGTTGCTGAACATTTCTAAAGACTCAAGTGTTCAAACTCAGAATTGTCATCTTTTAGTTAATGGTAATGATGGACAAAATTCCTGAGATGAAAGAGATCAGAAGGAACTCTCTCTCTACCAGAAATGCAAGTATGCACTAAAGTTGAAGACCCAGAAAATATAATAGCCAAAGTATCTGGAAAAAATAAACAAGCAATGTGAAAATACTAACCAATTACAAGAAAATAGTCAAGCACAAGTACTGAGTCTTTTCAAGTCAACACTAAAGATTATCTAGTCTTATACAATATTCTGAAGTCCAGTTTTAATAAGACATATAGAAAGGGTGGGGAGGAGGGATATTTCCTACCTGAGACAGAATAGACGCAAAGTTTTCTAGAATGCAGAATAGCCAAGTGAAGCATTTCAGTACCTCTGAAAAACATGAAAAGTGGTTCAAGATTAATTTCGGATTTATTTTAATTATAAAATAATTGTTAAAAGAGATCATAACTTCAGTATACTATGGGTAAACTAAATAATTCATCACATAGCATTTTGAACTTAAAAATATATCTAACATCAACAGCCAGTTTGATAATCTTAAAGGTTCAACACTCTACCTAGTCAGACTGAAGTCAACAGAGCCTGAAGGAATCAGAGTGGAGACTGACTTTGGAAGTATTTTCCCACAATGAAGAGATGCTGGTCCTGGCTCTATGATATAATATGTGACCCTGGCAAAGACACTTATTCTTTCCTAACCTGCTTTTCCTTTGAAATAAGAGGTTTCAAATTTAAAAGATGTGCCAACATTTAAGAAACAGGCAATTTCCCAGAAAAATCAGAAAAGAATAGTGGAAACCTCTTTTAGTCTTTTCTAGTCTTCAGTTGATCACAGCCTCCTACACCCTTTGTTCACACTTGACCTCTGAGGATTGAATTTGAGAATGGGAATTCCAAAAGACTTAATAGTGCTCATGTGAAATCACTCCAACAGAACAAAGGGATACTACATAGCTAAAAGTGAAGATATGTATGTATCAGTATTGTAGACTTTCTCCATACCCATCAGTCTGTATGCTGAGTAAATCTAAGAAGTTGGACTCTATGAAGAAGAATGTTGAATCAGGATTAGAGGAAGACTCATCAACAACCTTCATAATACAGATAACACAATCTTGCTTACAGAAAGTAAAGAAAATATGAAAAATCTACTAAAGAAGTTATGGATTACATCTCAATATCAAGAAAAAAAAATCCTCACCACTGGATAAATAAGCAGCATCATGATTGATGAGAAAAGACTGAGGTTGTCAATGATTTCTTTTACTTGAATCCATAATTAACATCCATGGTAGTAGCAGTCAAGAAATCAGAAGATGTTCTGCATTTGGGAAATCTACTGTCAAAGATTTCTATAAAGTGCTAAAGAGGTAGGATGTCAGGTTAAAGAATAAGTATGCCTGACTCATGTTAAAGTATTTTCAGTTGCTTTGTATGCATCTGAAAGCTAAACAATTAATAAAAAAGATTGAAGAGTTTATACCTTTGAATCGCAGTGCTGGCAGAATATTGAATATATACTGTGGACTGCCAAAAGCAAAAGGAAATATGTCTTAAAGGAAATGCAACAAAGGTGCTCCTTAAAGGCAACGGTGACATTTCATCCCACATACTTTGGCATGTTGTTGTTGGATTGGGCCTGTTTTTACAAAGACTTCATGTTTGGAAAAGCAAAGGGTAAGTAAAAGGACAATCTTCAACAAGATGAACTGATGCAGTGAAAGCAACAACAACAACAAAAAAAGTGGCCATCTTTGGGTCTGAAGCAATTGCCTAAGGACTGTGCCACCACAGCTCCCTATATGGTTTTTGGTTTTGTTACTTTGATTTTATATAGAATGAGTTTTATTTTTAGTAAATTCAAGTATGAATAAGATAAAATCAGAAATATTAACAGTAAATAAACAGATTATCTAAATAAAATGCAAACTAACAATGTTTTCTAAAGTAATTCAGATCTAAAAATTCTCTGAAACAAAGCTCTTACAGGAAAAGATTTTTTATTTTTATTTATTATTATTATTAATTATTATTATTACTGTTATTATTATTATTAGTGTGCATAGAGCATCTGGTGGACTTGAACCATGTACCTCTAGGAGTGCAGTTCAGCTTCTTGCCACTAGGCCACCAGAGCTCCTGAAAAGCATTTTTTTAAGCTAAGCTAACTCCTTTCAACAAACTAAAATAGTAATAAATAATTTATTTACAATTTCAAGGTTATGAGCCAAAAAAGTAAAGTTTATTTGCTACTTTCCCTAATTATTTAAACAGATATTTCTCTAAATTGGGCCTTTAGTTCTTCAGATAAATTCCTTTATTTCATTATGTTAAAAAACTCATCTCATTTCGTTTAAGTTTCTGATACATCAGACATCTTAGTTATCATCTATCATGATACAAAGACTTTATTTTACCTTAAGTGTACAAGTTTCCATATAAAATATTTTAACCATATAAGGTACATCTAGATTTAAAACTCTATTTGATTCATGGATATTCTTATTTGAAGAATCCACAAATGTTACACAGTAAGGGTAAAATATTCCAGGTTAAACACAGTGTTAGAATTAGAAGGGTGTACTTACGAAACAAATTTTCCTACTTCTACTTGAAGTATTGGATCTCGTAAATGCACTTCTAGAAGCAAATCTTCAGCCTGGGTTCCATCACCTGTTTTTACAGGATGAGGGTTAAAGATTCTTAGGTATCCCATGAAGCTACCTACAATTATTTTATCTGTAGAGAGATTAAGAGGAAAAGTATAAGAAGAAACAAACATTATCAACAAAACATCTTTGAAAATAAAAACATTCTAATGTCTAAAGAGAAATCCAAAAGTTCACATGATCTAGTCTTGCTTCATGTACTCAGTTCATTCTGACAATATTAGATGTAATGTTTTAAAATATTGTATTCTGAAAAGAACTCATTATTCAGCCAAAATAAAGAGAAATTATGTTTGAGATATGCAACAACAAAAATGAACCTTGAGAACAATATTCTTAGAGCAATAATTAAGAAATAAAAGAGCACTAATTCAGACACAAATGAATAAAATACTAAAATACTCTATGACCACACTTAATATGATCTAGAACAGGTAAATGTGTAGAAATCACAGTTTATTAATGCTTAATGGGACCAGCAAGGAGGAAAGAGAGACAGGACACCTAGAGCACTTAACTCTGTTCATATTGTTACTTAGCATCAAGTCCTCTTTGTTTAGAATTCATATGTTTTCCAAAAGCCTTTTAGTTAAGAAGTAGATAGCCCATCCTGCTTCTAAGTCTTTCTTAATCAGGGAGTTCCACCGAAACCTGTCCAGGATGGGGAACCATTTTGGAATTTGATATACCAGTGGCCAAGATTTCAGTATCACAGCAACCCCAAGTAATCATAGTAAAGCAAACTGATAGACAAGTGCTGCACCACCTAGAACAATGTTCTCTCCAAACACAACCAATAGCAGACCCTTTCCCTTGGACCCAAATGAGATCAGCAATTAACTATAACAACAATGTCAATTCAGAATTGACCCATAGTTGACCCTCCAGAGGGTTTCAGAGGCGGTAAACTGCATAGGATGATATTGGCCCTGTTGAGGATATTGGCCATCTTTCTTCAACACAGCAGCTGGTGGATTCCTATCATGCACCTTTGAGATGGCAGTGCAACTCCTTACCATTAGGCCACCAGAGTTCTCCCAAACTTCTGTTAAGGGGGATGGAAAACTTCAGAACTGGTTCATGGCGACAGACTAAAGAACAGGATGGACATATCTAAATTCAGTTAACTATTCAAATTAAGACTGTTAAAATGGGAAATGTTTTATTTACTATATTTTTATCAAAATTTAACTATTAAAGAAAGGAGGAGGCAGAAAAGAAGCAGCAGAAAAATGACAATAATTTAATTAGTGATGGTTTGAAAATGGCAGAAGGGGCCATGTACTAAGGAAAGCAGCCAGTCTCTCAAAGTTACAAATGACAAGAAAATCGACTCTGTGGAGTCTCAAGAAAAAAACATAACCCTGCAGAAAACTTTATTTTACCCCAAAATGACCCATTTGAAACTTCAGACCTCTAGAACTATAAGATAATAAATTTGTGTTGATTTTCAAAAATAATTCCCAAGTTTTAAGTTTCAGCAACTACATGGATAGCAGTATTATTTATTTAGGTGGTAAAAATTGAGAAAAGATAAGTCTGGAAGGAACTTAACAGAAGAATCGGTGTCTCTGATTTAAACATATGAACTCTAAGTAACCTGTTAGATATTTAAACAGTGATGCCAAGGTAATTGCTAGATTCATGCATACATACATCAAGCCAGGGCAGGGGAGGGCTGGAGAGAGGTAAGTGGGAGTCTTTAGAACCTGAGTGGATTAAAGGCATTATATTGAGTAACAAGAGATTGAGATTGTTCACAGCTTTAGTTTGCTTGGCTCCACAGTCAACACTCTGGGCACCAGCAGCCAGGAAATTAAAAGACATTTTGCAATGGGAAAGTTTGCTGTTAGGGACCTATCCAAAGTACTGAAGAGCAAAGGTGTCACTCTGGAGACTAAGGTGCATCTGATACAGGCCATGGTCTTTGCAATTACTTGTTACGTGTCAGAGAGTTGGACAATGACTAGGAAGGACAGAAGGAGAATTAATGCCTTTGTGCTGTGGTGTTGGAGAACAGTATTGAGTGCACCATGGACTGCTAAGAAAACGAACAGATTCATCTTAGAGAAGGTTAAACCAGGCTGCTCCTTAGAGGCAAGCATTCTGAGGCTTTGTCTGACATACTTTGGACATGTTGTAAGGATGGACCAGTCCTTGGAGAGAGACACCATGCTCGGGAGGGTAGAGGGCAGGCGCAGGAGGGGAAGGCCCTCTATGAGGCAGATTGATTCAATGACTGGGGTAATCAGGATGGGTGTGTCAGAGGCAGTGTGATTGGCACAGGACAGAGCAGGGTTTAGGGCTGTTATACATAGGGTAGATATGAATCACAAGCAATTCGATGGCACATAACAACAACAACAATATTTAGCAAGTTCAAATGAAGAAGAGAAGATGGCTTAGGATAAGCTCTGGGAATGTCCAATATTTAGTTAAGTATTTAGGGTAAATTGAGGAACAATTGTTAAGCAAAGAGTCAGTTGGTTAAAGCTTACCAGTTGCACTGCAGAAGAAATATTTACAAATTTGGGGGGCAATTCTACTCTTCCTATAAGCTTGCTATAAGTCAGAACCAACTCAATGGGAGAGGATTTTGGGCTGGTGGCACAGTGTTGAACATTCAGCTCCTAATGGAACAATCTATGGTATGAACACACCAACTGCTCCATGGGAGAAAGACATGACAGTCTGCTTCCATAAAGATTCAGTCTCGGAAGCCCATATAGACAGGACAGTTCCACTCCATCTTACAGTCACTACGAGTAGAATTGACTTGAAAGCTATAAGTATTGGTTTGATCTGTCATTTGTTTATTTTGGGATTTTTTGTTTTGCTTTATTTTTATAAACAAAGTAAATCAAGTCCCAATATGAGCATGTCAGGAAGTACTAATGAAAGTTTGGAACAGAGCTTTGTCTTCTTTAATAGAAAAGTATGTACCTTTTAAGAAATAACCCCTCAATTATTTGTGAACTCCATTGTTGTTAGGCACCAAGTCAGCTAAATCCCATGTGACCTTATGAATAGGTCTGACCTGTGCCCTATCTTAGTCCATCCTTAGGATATCTGATACACTCAAGGCCATTGTTAAAGTTTATCTTATTGTGGAACTTCCTCTCTTAATCCATATCTCCACCTTTGCCAGCATGATGACTTTTTCCACAGACTGGCCAATCCTGACAACATGCTCAAAATATGTAAGACAAAGTTTCCCACGCTGGCCTCTGGTTGCATTGCCTCCAAGCAGACTTGTGTGGTTTTTTGTTTGGGTTTTTTGTGGGTGGTGGTGGTGTTGTTTTTCGAAGTCCTCAGGATATTCTTCTTCAAAATCACAATTCAAAGGCATCAATTATTCTGTCATCCTTACTTATTGACCAACTTTCAGATGCACAGGAAGTAATTGAAAAGACCATGGATCAAGTGCTCCTTAGCCCTGAAACTAACCTCCATGTTCTTTGGCTCTTTGAAGAGGTTTCAGATAGCAGATTTTCCAAATGCAACACATCTTCTGATTTCTTGACTACTATTCCAATGAATGTTGATTGTAGGCCCAAGTAAAATAAAATTGTTGACAATTTCAGTCTTTTCTCCATCTATGCTGACTATTGGTCCAGTGGTGAGGGGAGAGAGAGAGAGAGTTTTCATTATTTTTATTTTATATATGAAATATTTTGTTATTTCTCTTACATTGTTTTACAAAATTAATCACCATTGATCGATGCCCACCATATCCCTGACTTTTCAGGTCCCCTCTGGATCTTTTTTTAATTCCTTTACCCCCTTCATCTACCCATCAAAATCTGAGACCTTATGATTTTTGTCTTCTTGATGTTGAGATGTACTCCATATTGAAGGCTGTAATCTTTGATCTTCTGCAGCAAGTGCTTCAAGTCTTCTTCATATTATTTAAATAAGGTTGTATCAACTGCATAAAGCAAGCTGTTGATGAGTCTTCCTCCAATCCTGTTGCCACATTCTTCTTTATGTTGTTCAGATTCTTTAACTATTTGCACCATATAGAGATGAAATAGGTATGGAGAAAGGATACAACCCTGACTCATATCTTTCCTGATTCTAAACCATGCAACATTCCCTCCTTCTGTTCTGACAAGTTTCTTAGTCAGTGTATAAGTTTCACGTGAGCACAGTTAAGTGTGGATTCACAATTAATTAACAGTTAATGGGATTCCCATTCTTATAATGTTAATCATAATTTGTTATGATCCATACAATCAAATGCCTTTGTATAGTCAATAAAACACAAATAATCATCTTTGTAGTATTCCGCCAAGATTCAGCTGACATTAGCAATAATATCCCTTGTTCTACAAACTCTTCTGAATTCAGCTTGAATTTCTGCCAGTTACATGTCAATGTATTATTTTAGCCTTTTTTTTTATACTCTTCAGTAAGATTTTAGTTGCATGGGATATAAATTATGTTTTTCAACAATTTCCACACTCATTTGAGTCATCATTTTTTGGAATGGGAACAAATATTTATCTCTCCCAGCCAGTCAATTGTCCATGTGACTATGTTCCAGATTTCCTAGCATAGACTAGTGAACAAATCCAGAGCTGAATTGAATATGTTTATTGAAACATGCAAACTGGTATTCCATCAATTTCTGGAGTGTTATTTTTTTTCCTCCCAATGCCTTCAGTGTAGTTTCAACTACTTCCTCCATTACCACTAGTTCTTGATCATATGTTACTTCCTAAAATGTTTCCATTTTGATGAATTTTTTTTTCTGTAAGGTGACTCTGTCTCCCTTCCATCTTCTTTTGAAGGTTCCTACATAATTCAAGATTTTGTCCCTAGAATCCTTCTGTATTACAACTTGAGGTATGAATTTCTTCTTAAGTAATTTCAGCTTGAGAAACAGAGTATGTTCTTTCCTTTTGGTTTTCTCACTCCAGCTCTTTGCACTTTACATTATAAAACTTTGCTTTGGAGATCCAAGATGGCGGCAGAGGCAGAGACAGCGTGGTGAGCTGTGGGAGCAGTGAACCACTTAAAGCAGGGCCACTATGGCCTTCTATAGACTTTGGCTTATTGATAATTGAA